GTCCCTGGCCAGGAGCTTTGCTTACAGTAAGGTTTGGTGAGGCAAGGCCTGTACAGAAGTGATTACTGAGGTTAAACATCACTTGCTCAAGAAAGCGTCCCTAAGCTCCCGGATAAGTTCCAGAGCCGTTTCCACTCTCTCAACTTCCACTACTTTGTCAGTGCACATGTCACCACTGTGATCAATTACTTAATTTGTTAGTTGATTATTCATTTAAAATCTGTCTCTCTGAAGGGACTTTAAGCACCACAAGGGTAAGACCATGCCTAAAACTGATTCACTACTGCCCCTCAGCACCATGCACAGTGATTGGCATGTTGTACACTCTCGTTAATTAACTGTCGAATGTGTGAACAAGAGGCTGATATAATAATGGACCCACTAATAGAAGAACAACAGACCAAGCTCTACAGATCATTTCATGAACATTAAGCACCTACTATGTATCAATCATTGTTGACGACAGAACCTGCTCTCAAAGAGCTGGCCCTCTAGTCGGGGGAGAGGCTCACAGCAGGACAATGCACAGAGGGCCCGTCCCTCTGATGCAGATCTGTCTGGGTTAAGGGTAACAGGGAAAACAGCTTCATAGAGTTGCTGCTACATCTGTGGGCAGACATGGTCTGGATGGACATCACAGGCAGAAGGACTGGCTTGAACAAAGACTAAAGGTTATACCAGCCTATGGGGAGTTTAGGGGGGTGAAGTTGGTTGGGTTGGGGGGGTGGGTAGACATGATCTTCTCTGAAGCAAGAACATGGATCTTAGTTAAGACAATACAGAGGCCCTGGCCAAGTAGCTCAGCTAGTTAGAACGTCATCCGGATAGGACAAGGTCAGGCCACATACAGAAGGCAACCAATGACTGCATGGATAGGTGGAGCAAGAAGTCGATGTTTCTATCACTCTCAAATCAATCAATCAATCAATAAATTTTTAATTAAAAGAAAAAAAGACAATACAGAGCAGACCAGTATTCAATGATCTGTAGGGAAAGTAAGCACAAAAGGAATTAAGAGGTTGGGGTCATCTGGGAAGGCAGAAATGTGAGCTGAACTTTGGACTCCACGGCTGAGGTCCTCACCATTATCTTTCATTGATTTGCCCTCCACAGAGCCTTTGTTATCAATGTCAACAGAGTGGCCACCCTTTCTTCTCTGAAACTGGAAAACCAAGGTAAGTTCCTTTGCAGCCCCTTTACATATCTGGCAGTGAACACAGTCAGCATGAAAGTTACTTTGTGGGGCCCTGGAAAAGTCTTCTAGTCGTGTGTTACCCAGATATCAGTTGAGCCTTCTAGTACCTAGATACCCACATAAGATTGGCTCAACCCTTTTTCCTCTGCCCCATAGAAAACAAAAGCCATCCCCAAGATTTCTGCCAATTCCTAGGGGCCTTATGTTCTCAGAGTCACCTGTGACTGCAGAATCCTGCTTCCTCGGGACCCATTCCTGTTCAGCATCACGTAGACACTGCTTAGTCAGCCCCTTCCTTAGTTTCCACCAAGACTTCCCACTCACATAAAACCTTCACAGTACTACAGGCTTTATAGGAATGAGGGGGCAGATGTGCACAAAAACAGGTTGACAGCATCAGAATAACAAACATTCATTCATTCTCAGAATGGCCTTGGCCACCACCACTACCACCAGGAATTTCCACTGCCCGTCCACAGGGTGTGATCCTCAACCTCAAACCATCCTGAGGCTTTTCGCCCTCCTTCCCCCTCTCTGTCCCCTGCGATCTCTCACTCCCCGTTAGGGAGCTAAAATAAATTCAAGAAATTGAGGTTCAGAAAGTAAATGGAAAAACCAGGGCTCAAATCCCACCTCCTACTTTTTACACTTTTCTTAGACTTACATCAAAACTATAAAGACAATCCCTTTTTTAAATGAAGCTTTTAAATACAAGGTTCAACTAAAAACAAGGACCATCAGCCTCTCTAGTGTCCAGATAACTAGTCTTCCTCAGGATCCCCCTGCTGGTTACTCACCCGTCATATGCTGCAAATGCGGTCAAAGGGATATCCATTTTCAAAACAAATTTTGATGTGATTATGCCTAACAAACTACTATATGAAAGCCTGACCTGTTGCCTTGGTGGTTTCCCCTCTGTGAGAAGACTGGGTGTTATTTTCTTCCTCGAGGACATTTTTGAGATGAGTATGAGTGTAAATGCTAAGAAGGAGAAAGAAAAAAGTGTGTTTCTAGTCAGGACTCCTTACCTCCACACTAATAAAACCCAGTTAAAAAAAATAAAAATAAAGTGGTTGTGTCAGACTTTCTGGCTCAGTGAGATGCTAGAGAAACATGCGCCCTGGGTAAATACTAAGTGAGATAAGACAAGGCCACAGACTCACAGGCCCCTCCAGGTAGCAGAAGAATGCATGGGCCTAAGCAAGTCACTGGACATGTCCCGTCTTCTTCTTTATTGTTTTAATGTATTTTTATTGATTTCAGAGAGGAAGGGAGAGGGAGAGAGAGAGAGAGAAACATCAATGATGAGAGAGAGTCATTGATTGTCTGACTCCTGCATGCCCTTCACTGGGGAATCAAGCCCACAACCAAGCATGCGCCCTGACTAGGAATCAAACCATGACCTCTACGACTGAGCAGCACAGGTCGGGCTGTCCCTTCTTCTCTATAGTCCCCTCTGTGGTCCACTCAGGCCTTTGCAGGTATCATTGCCAAACTCTAGTTTTTCCAAGATCAGACATCCCGTTCACCCCACCCTATCCCTATCCCTACCCCACCCCCAGGGCTACAGGCCTGGCTTTTTCTGCTTCTCAGCAAGGCAACCTCAGAGAACCAGTGTGTGGTCAGATCCCTGCACAGGGAATGGCCGGTGCCTCAGCAACCACAGAAAGAAGTTCAGGGGTTTGGACAGCACTTCTTTCCATTTACTTAAAGCAGGAGTAGCCATCCGCAGGTCTGATGGTAACTAGTTCTTACAAGCTTTACATGCAACCTTTGAAATTAGCAACAAAAAATAAAATTGTGCCATTCTGGGTCATATTTGCACTGATGTATCTAATACAATATTAAGGACGCTTGAGGACCAACAACCTACCCACAACAAATTCAGCAGTTATGTAAGTTCCATCCCCTGGGGCAGTGGTCGGCAAACCGTGGCTTGCGAGCCACATGCGGCTCTTTGGCCCCTTGAGTGTGGCTCTTCCACAAAATACCGACTTTTGCGCATGGGCCACGAAGTTTCAATCGCACTGTACGTGCACGCCCACACGCGGTATTTTGTGGAAGAGTCACACTCAGGGGGCCAAAGAGCCGCATGTGGCTCGCGAGCCACAGTTTGCCGACCACGGCCCTGGGGGACTACGTAGACCTTAGAGGTAGATAGTGTGCATTCTGTACACCATAGCTTTCCCTTCCGCTATATACACTTGGCCCTTGAGACATGCTGATTGAATTCTGCTCATGAACTCTGCTCCAGCGTCGCATCAGATTAGCCTCATTTTCCAACGTAGGTTCTGATGCCCTTTTTTTCCCCAGCAATGATCACAGCATCACCCTCCATGACCTCCATGACCTCTATGACCTCCATGACCTCCATGACCAGGTCGACCACAACCCGAAGCCCAACGACAAACCGATTCCCAACCACAGCCAAAACCGCAACCTCAGCTGTAACCACAACCAAAAGCTTCGCCAACAGCGTCTTCCTCAGCCCCATCGCAGATGCCATCCAGATCCTGCTCGTCTTCCTCACCAGCAAACTCCTCTTCTAAAAGCTGTTCCTGCCTCTGCTACATCCTCCTGCGTTCAGTTCCAAGCCAGGGCTCCGTCATGTGTGTGAATGAAGGCCTCGTTCTCAAATGTACAGCTCTCCTGCCACTGCTTTGGACCAAAGAGGAGACTTGGTTGAGAGTAGCCAGTTCACTCACTGGTGGAGTTGGGGCACTCAGATGTTCAACTAAATCTTTCAGGCTTTTTGTAACTACTTAGAGCTGGTCTGGGAGTAACATGGAATTCTGGCTGTAGGTTTAACATGGTGACAGCCAACTCCATCGCCAGTCTAAACTTTTGTTCATTGCCAAATGATTCCCCCAAGTCTCTGTGGGAAGAATCTTTCCTCACTTTCAAGATGATCTTCGATTTCTGACCAAACCCACCCAGATAACAGAGTGTGTTGACTCATGTGACTCCACGGGAAAGGAGAAACAACCCTCATTCTGCTGGCAACACCAGTAGCATTAGAAGGGCAAGGAAACAGGAATGTACCATGTCTGAGCAGCCAAAAATAGGGACAGATTATGGGATAAAGGCATTATTTTCTGTCATACCAAAAAAACTATATTCCAAACAAGAACAATGTGTTAAATTCAAATTCTTTAATAAGTGATTATCTTGAAATACAGAAAATGTTATCTAATTTTATTCATTTGTGCAAGCATTAAAAAATTAATAAAGTGATGGGAGTATGTATGTTTTCAAGGCCAGATCTACGGGTAAAATTTTCTCAATTTTAATATTCCTCAAGTGCAAACTGGTCATTTTTCCCCTAACAGTGCTGTCCACTAGGAGAAATGGGCAAAATACTTATAATATTCACAATACAATGTGAAGCCAAAAGAAAGCATGGGATTTCCAGTAACAGCCAACAAAGTTTTCTTTCAGTGATTATGTTGAGTTCCAGAATGCCAGCATCTAGTGACCGGCCTTTCTCAAGAACAGTTCCTTTCAATTCCTCCTTTTCCCCTGTGAACAGGCCATACTTTCCTATTTCGTCGGTCTTTTATATTTTTGAAAACTGGCCAAGACCGGTTTGGCTCAGTGGATAGAGCGTCGGCCTGCAGACTGAAAGGTCCCAGGTTCGATTCCGGTCAAGGGCATGTACCTGGGTTGCGGGCACATCCCCAGTGGGAGATGTGCAGGAGGCGGCTGATCGATGTTTCTCTCTCATCGATGTTTCTAACTCTCTATCTCTCTCCCTTCCTCTCTGTAAAAAATCAATAAAATATATTTTAAAAAAAAAAAAAAAAAAGAAAACTGGACGTTTTGAATATTATAACGCAGTGACTCTGGAATCAGATTCTCCCTTCTCCCCATGGTTGCTGCTTGTTGAGTCATCTATCTGTTCCGTGGCTTTTCCAAACGACTTCTGCCAAGACTGCCTTCTCGTGGGGTCACCAGTCTCTCTCCTGCTGTCACAGCAGTCAGTGACCTGGCGGATTTTAAGTGTCAAATTTGACAGCCTTTCTTCAGTAAGCATTCCCCAGAAGATGTGAGGTTTGTTTTTTGGTGTGTTTGTTTGTGTGGTTTTTTTTTTTTTTTAATTAAATTCTAGATATTAACAGCAGCGAGTCCTGAGCCTGCGGGCTAGGAACAAGTTTCATATTTAACTTTCACGGCCCAACCTGGCCCCCATCCCAGTTTCAGTGTGGAAGGTGTGACAAATATCCAGGAAAGATACTCTCTGAAGCTGGGAAACTTTTAGACTCAAAGAAACCTGGGTGAATTCAGAGGAGCTGAGCGAGGGGGCTGGCCCAGCAGGCAGGACACCTGTAAAGTCCACTTCTGCTGCGAGTAGAAAGGGAACCTTTAACAAGTGGCACCACAGTCTCCCACCTTGGTTTTCTTATCTGTAGGGAGAGGTACGTACAGGTCTCAGTTTTTATTTCTCTGTCATAGCCAGACGCCGTTGGTAAGGTAGTCAGAGGCGGTAAGAAGGCGTGATCTTACGCCATATCTGACTGACTGACAGAGGCTGCCGGGAGCACTGTTGAGGAGGATTCTGGAGCGAAATCCAGGCTCAGAAATAGAGTGTTGTGCTCAACAAGTGATCTCCTCCGCGGGCTCAGGAGACAGGAATTAAAGCAGCACAGCCAACAGATGGCTGGCCTTCCTGGTCTCTCCTTGAGCAGCTGGGATAGAGGAATAAGAGGAAGGGCTCCAGAAGTCCACACGTTCTCACTCTCGGGAATAGCTAATCCTGATCCTCATCTTTGTAATTAACCTCCCGATCCAGATAGGAAGCTGTGATGCACCAACGGGAAAAGAATACACACAAGCAACTGCAAGGAAACCCACAGGCTCACCTCACGCACAGTAAAAAGAGATGAACAATAGGTGGACTGTTCATCACTCCCACACTCACTTGCCCAACCTTGTTCTTCTACTTTTCTTGCTTGTAGCATCATGCTCTGTAAATTCAGTGCATTTTCATTCTGTGATAGAAACAGCGACTGCCTGCCCCGCATAACGCACTTTGAGAAAGTAGGAAAGAAAATTGATGCCTTGCGAATCCCATGACCTCAAAGACCTTCACAGAAAGAGTCCCAGCCTGGTCAATGGCCAACTGTAACACCAGCCATTCAGAAGAGGCAGAAAATTTAGACAGTATGTATATTGTCTGCCAACACCCACTTTACTCTGTAAAGTAGATGTTGAAAATATTAATAATGAAGTAAAGCTTTATCATTTCATAAGAGCATTAGTTAGGCAATTGTCTTAAAGCATAAACTCAAGTTAGACTGCCTGGGGTTCAATTTCATTTGATTTTGTCTCTTACTGGTTGTGGGACCTGACACCAGTTGCTTAACTTCCATGTACCTTGGTTTCCTTGTCTATAAAATAGGGAGAAAGACAGTAGGCGCCTCATATGTTATTGTGTTGACATTAAATCAGTTGCTATATGTAAAGTACTTAGAACAACACCTGGCACAAAGTAAACACTATATAACTACTTAATGACTAAAAAACTATCACAAATGATACATTGATATATAAGAAAGCCAAGTATCTTTTTTTTTAATAATTTTTAATTTTTCAATTGCAGTTAACATACAATATTAGTTTAAGGTGTACAACCCAGTGCTTAAACATTTATATAACTTATGAAGTGATTGCACCAATAAATCTACTACCCATTCTGATACCATAGTTATTATATTATCAACTAGAGGCCCGGTGCATGAAATTTGTGCATGGGCGGCAGGGGGGCTGGGTCCCCTCAGCCCAGCCTGCACCCTCTCCAATCCAGGACCCCTCGGGGGATGTCCGACTGCCGGTTTAGGCCCGATCCCTGGCCTAAACCGGCAGTCGGACATCCCTCTCACAATCCTGGACCACTGGATCCTAATCGCTCACCTGCCTGCCTGCCTGGTCACCCCTAACTGCCCCCCACTGCCAGCCAGGTCGTCCCCAACTGCTTCCTCTCTGCCGGCCTGGTCGCTCCTAACTGCTCCCCCCCCCCACCCCGCCAGCCTGGTCACCCTTTACTGCCCCCCTGCTGGTCTGGTTGCCCTCAACTGCCCCCCCCCACTGACCTGGTCGCCCTCAACTGCCCCCCCATGGGCCTAGTTGCCCCTCACTGCCCCCCGACAGCCTAATCACCCCCAACTGCCCCCCCCCCCGTCAGCCTGGTTGCCCCCAACTGCACCACCCCTGCTGGCCTGGTCGCCCCCTACTGCCCCTCCTGCCAATCAGGTTGCCCCCAACTGCCCCCCTCTGCCAGCCTGGTCACCCCTAACTGGCCCCCCTCTGGCCTGGTCACCCCCAACTGCCCCCCCTCTGGCCTGGTCACCCCCAACTGTCTCCCTACCCCTCACGGCCCCCCCACTGGCCAGGTCGCCCCACGCAGCCTGCTTGTCCAGTCATTGGGTCGTCCCTCACTAACCCCCCTGCCAGCCTGGTTGTAGGCAGCCATCTTGTGAGGGCATGAGGGTTAATTTGCATATTACCTATTTATTATATAGGATGATTATATTTCCTATGCTGTACTTTATATCCCCATGACTATTCTATACCTACCAATTTGTACTTCTCAATTCCTTAACCTTTTTCACTGATCCCAACCCCCAAAATGTTTTCCATATCTATGAGTCTGTTTTTGTTCTGCTTGTTTGGTTTTTATTTTTATTTTATTTTTATTTTTGCTTGTTTGTTTTTTAGATTCCACATATAAGTGAAATCATCTGGCATTTGTCTTTCTCTGACTTATTTCACTTAGCATAATACCCTCTAGGTCAGTGGTTCTCAACCTTCCTAATGCCACGACCCTTAAGTACAGTTCCTCATGTTGCGGTGACCCCCAACCATAAAATTATTTTCGTTGCTACTTCATAACTGTAATTTTCCTACTGTTATGAATCGTAATGTAAATATCTGATATGCAGGATGTATTTAGGTGAACCCTATGAAAGGGTCGTTCGACCCCCAAAGAGTCGCGACTCACAGTTGAGAACTGCTGCTCTAGGTCTATCCACGTTGTTGCAGATTGGCAAGATTTCACTTTTTTATGGCTGAATCGTATTTCATTGTATATATGCACCACTTCTTTATCCACTCATTTATTGTTGGCCACTCACATTGCTTCCATATCTTGGTTATAGTAAGTAATGTTGCAATAAATATATGGATGTGTATGTCTTTTCAATTTAGCGTTTTGAGTTTCTTTGGGTAAATAACCAGAATTGGAGTTGCCGGGTCCTTCTTTATCTCTTGTTATAGCCTTTGTTTCAAAATCTGTTTTGTCTGGTATAAGTATTACTACCCCATCTTTTTATTTTGTTTTGTTTTCATTTTCATGAAATACCTTTTTTCATCCCTTTACTTTCAATTTGTGTGTCTTTTTATCTGAATTGAGTCTCTTGTAGACATATATAAGGGTCTTAATTTGTTATCCATTCAGTCACCATGTCTTTTGATTGGAGCATTTAATCCACTTGCCTTTAAAGAAATTGTTGATAAATATGTATTTATTGGCATTTTATTATTCATATTTTTTATTTTTTATTCTTCTTCTAAAAGAAGACCCTTTTAGCACTTCTGGTGGTAATGAACTTTTTTAGATTTTCCTTGTCTGGGAACCTCCTTATATGTCCTATAACTTTGCTGGGTAGAGTAATCTTGGTTGTAGGTTTTTAATTTTCATCACTTTGAATATTTCATGCCACACCCTTCTGGTCTGCAAAGTTTCTGCTGAGAAATCAGCTGACAGTCTTATGGGAGCTTCCTGCTAGGTAACTAACTGCTTTTCTCTGGCTGCTTTTAAGATTCTCTGTTTGTCTTTAATCTAAAGTTCTATTGTTATAAGCCACCCAGTTTATGGTAAGTTGTTACAGCAGCCCTAGGAAACTTCAAACTCTTTAGATAATTTGAGAGCATACTGGGGTAGAACCGATTTTCTTCAGCAAGTTGACTATCATATCTTGGTCCTAACATTGTCTTCAGAGGTAAGAATCTTCCTGCCACAGTTGCACCATCGCGGGGGGGATCTTGTTGTGAGCCATGACTCAGAGCCAAGTGAGCCTCTTTGCACGGAACTGCGTGGCCTCCAAACCCTGGCCGAGGTCCGGATTCAAGCTGCCACCGGGATAACGTAAGTGGCTGTGCACCACTTTCATTATATCCAAGTATCTTTTTAAGTCTAGTTGTGTGTCTTTTTAAATATGATTTTAGAGAGGAAGGGAGAGGGGTAGAGAGATAGAAACATCCATGAGAGAGAAACATGAATCATCGCCTCCTGCATGGCCCCCCACTGGGGATCTAGCCAGCAACCCAGGTATGTGTTCTGATCAGGAATCGAACCAGTGACCTCTTGCTTCATGGATCAATGCTCAACCACTGAGCCACACCAGCCGAGCAAGAAAGCTAAGTATTATAATAATATAAATATGTGCAAATAAAATGGTGTCTATAACAAGGACTGAAATTACGCATTTTAACTGTTATAAATGGCTGATGTCTGGCTTTTCACAATCTCCCTCCAGCCCTGCCTTCCCCTCTACCCTTCAAGCTTCTAAGTAGAAGGTACTCTAGCCTTTAGTGTCAGCTCCTATGCTCTCTTTTCCTAGAGAATCTAAATAATGGATAAAAGTCTTAAATTATTCTACAAAATAGTTGAATCAGGAAAGTGAAAATTAGAATTATTTTACTTCTGATTGCTGGACTGTATGTATGTCTTTGAATGGGCTCAGCAGTGAATCTAGGATTCTAGGACATATGGACTGCCCCTACCCTGCTTTTATGTAAGTTACATCCATATAAATAGGTAGAATGAAGTTAAATATATATACCTGATATGCGGGAAATAATTTAACATATGCCAAAACATCTGCATGTTTGTCTATGCATACATATATTTAACAATAATTTTAGACCAGCTGCTTGAATCCAACAAACTCAAAAAGCCATTGGCTAAAATAACTAAATATGAAGACAAAGCACATTTAAAGAGCTTGGGAAATTTTTGAAATCATTATTTTAATTGGTGAACATGGTTTTCTTTTTAAGCCAAACAGACATAGGTTCAAATCCCAGCTCTTCCACTTACTGAGTGACTCTGAACAATACAAGCCCAGATTGCTGATTGGTGAACCAGAGCTAACTCCTGCCTTAAGAACATGGTGACTAAGACACCAGACATGTAGTCGCTAGCATGATATTCATTCACAAGCCAATAAATGCCGAAAAAACAGAAGTTAGTTAATTGCACAGACATCAACACAGTCTCAAATGTGGGTGGAATGTTATACCCCACAATCTGGTTAGGGTGCATTTTTTTTCCTCTTCTATATACAGTTCTCCCCTCAGGAATGGAGCCTTGGCTTTCCCCCTAGTGCTTTGGGAATTATTGAGGATTAGTACAGCAACAAATTTGGCCCTTGTTTGCTGAAAAACACATGTTGCCTCAGTATTGCCACAAATCTGCCAGTTCTACGTGGACCCTGTTCTCAGAGGCCAAACAGGTGGCATGACAAAAAGCATTCTCTGCAAGACCAGCTGAGCCCTCTCTGCCTGCGTCAAATCTACTCCCCACAAGCCAGAATAGTAATTATGAACTACTGTTATCCTGTTATACAGGGAGTACCTTGTCAGTGAGCCGTCAGTGAGCCCGAGTCCTGAGTCTGGGCTGCTAACAAATGATAGTGTAGTTTGGGGGGCAGGAGTTCACTGAAAGATCCTTGATTCTGAATTCCAGTTCATCTTTACTTAAATTAGTAGTTGGGGACTAAACCAAATCTTACCCAAAAATGGAAATGGAAAATTTCCAGGAAGGTAAAGTTAGCTAGATACACCGGTTTGGAGAAATGCTCAGGGGATTTACTCCATGTTGTGGTGGCTGTCCTCTAAGCTGACACACATAAAGAATAACCCTTTCTGAAGTATGTTTAAAATGTGTGGTGTTAAATCTCAAAATTTTTACCAAACCGGGTTCAGCCAGTTCTTTGGCGATGGCAGGCACTGTCACTCATTCAATAACTAATTACTCACACCTGCTATGTAGCAAGCACTGGTCTAGGTCCTGGCGCAACCAGAGTGAATAAGGCAGACAGGGCTCTGGCCCTCATGACATTGACATCCTTGGGGTTGGGACAATAAACTAATAAGCAAATAAATAAGACAAAGAAAACATATACATTTTAAGACTGCAAGGTAGGGGAGTATGGAGGTATTATAATAGAAAATAACAGAGGACGTCTACATATACTGGGTGATCAAGAGGGTGAAATTTAGGCTGAGATCTGAAGAAAAATAGGTTTTATGAAAAGGATGGGGCAGGGGATAGGGACAGCATTCCAGGCAGGGGAGCATGACAAGAGCAAAATTCCGACATGTCATATTAAATTACAGCAGGCTAGCGGAAGCTTTCAAGGAGTAACATGATAGAGGGAGGAGAGGTGGTGACAGGAGTGTGGAGGAGAACCAAAGTGAAGCAGACCAGGGAAGAGGCCATGTCAGTAACCCAGGCAAGAAAGTATGGCGGTTGGACTGGATGGTGGCATTGAAAACGTAAAGATAATTATATATTTTAAAGGTAAGGCCTGCAGAACTGATAGATCAGAAGTAAGAGGTAGGAATCAAGACCATTCCCAGGTTTCTGGCTTGAAAAAAAATAAATGGATGGTAGTATCATTTTCAGGGAAGACTGATGGGAAAATAAATTTTAAAGGAGAATTCAGAACTTGACTTTGGAAATGTTAAGCTTGAGATGCCCACGCGACACCCCACTGCCCATCTGTTGCTCTACCTGAGAGCAACTAAAACTCTGAAAAGTAACAGACAAAACTAGCCCTTTTTTTATTTTTTACACTTATTTATTTATAACATTTTATCATTTTTATTTTCAATTACAGTTGACCTACAATATTGCTTTGAGTGTATGCGCCAGTGATTAGACATTACATAACTTAAGTGATCATCCCAAGAAATCTTGCACCCACCTGACACCAAACATAATTATTTACTATATTCCCTATTCTGCACTTTACATCCCCATGACTATTCTGTAACAACCCATTTGTACTTCTTAACCCCTTCACCTTTTCTCCCATTTCCCTAACCACCCTCCCATCTAGCAACCATCAACATGTTCTCTGTATCTATGAATGTTTCTGTTCTGCTTATCTTGTTTTGTTTTGTTGTTTTCTATTTATCTTGTATTTAGATTCAATTGTTGATAGCTATGTATTTATATTTTATTGTTCATATTTTTTATCTTCTTCTAAAAGAAGACCCTTTAACATTTCATTTAATGCTGATTTGGGGATGATGGACTCCTTTAGCTTTTTCTTGTCTGGGAAGTTCTTTACCTTAGATATATGCTCAAACAAAAGAGGCCTCGTGCCAATTAGTGACGTCCGTGCTACCTTAACATGAGCAGGTCATATAAGGATGTGCTTGCGCAGTATGTATAGTGCTACTGCTGAGTCACTGCCCTGGCACATGCGTAGGGGGGCCTTTAACATAGAAATGCTGCCGTGTCAGTGCCTGCACGCATGCGTATGGCAAGAGGGCCTTTAACCTCCAGTGTACTCTGGTCAGGGCCCCCACACAATCCCATAACAATCTTCTTCCTTCTCTAAATTAATATATACTCATTTGGTATTTAAAATCATGGAGATATAAACTCTGAGAACAGGCAGAAGCACCTTCCGATAGCCTCTGGTCCAAACAGTCATCTCTGAGGCTCTGAGATAGAAGTGGCACAAATGAACAGTAACAACACTGGGACTAGAATTGAAGCCTCAAAACTTTCATGTTATTCAATTCTAAAAATATTCACTAAGTATTCATCATGTCTAAGGCACTATAAATTTTAAGTTTCCATCAATATGCCATTGACTTAATCAACAAAAATCACTAGGTACTCTGCTTAGAATAAAGACTTTGCCCACAAGGAATCCAGGGTGGTGAAAGTCAAAAAAGTAAAGTAACAATTGCAGTGAAGTGATTTTTAATCTATACAAAACAGGCTCTCTAAATGATACTCATGATACATTACAAATTTGGTTTTAAAATAGATGTGAACTTAATACAAGTCTTATAATGATTACAATGAATCAGGCACTCCAGAACAATGTAGAGGTACAGTAATTATGTGATGGCATCTTAATAGTCCAAGAGGCTAAAGATATTTTTCAAATATGGATAGAAACTGAGTATTTCTATAGTATTAACCCCTGAGGGCTATTCTCCTTTATAGACTACAATATTATTATCAGTTTCATATACTTTCACTTTATAAAGAATTCCCATAGGAAGAAATTTCTGGAGGTTATCCCAGATATACACAGCTACATTTTCTGTTGTGCTGTAGAGAAAAGGAGAGAAGATCAAAAGACAAATAAATAAAATTTCATGTTTAATATTTACAGAGAACAGAAATTCTATTTTTAAAAGGTGTCATTAAACAAAAACTTTAGAAATCACACAGCAATCAAATAAAATGTTAACATTCTTCTTTCTTATTCTCTATACTAGAGGCCTGGTACACAAAATTCGTGCACTAGGGGGGAGGGTTGTTCCTCAGCCCAACCTGCACCCTCTCCAATCTGACCCCTCAGGGGAAGTCCGACTGCCGGTTTAGGCCCGATCCTTATGGGATCGGGCCTAAACCGGCAGTCGGACATCCCTCTCACAATCCGGGACTGCTGGCTCCCAACCGCTCGCCTGCCTACCTGCCTGATTGCCCCTAACCACTTTTGCCTGCCAGCCTGATTGCCCCCTAACCACTCCCCTGCCAGCCTAATTGACACCTAACTACTCCCCTGCTGGCCCGGTCTCCCCCAAATGCCCTCCCCTGCAGGCCCGGTCCCCCCTAACTGCCCTCCCCTGCCGGCCCAGTCGCCCCTTACTGGTCCCCCCCAACTGCCCTCCCTTCCCTGCCAGCCTGGTTGCCCCTAACTGCCCTCCCCTGCAGGCGTGGTCCCCCCTTAACTGCCCTCCCCTGCTGGCCTGATCACCCCTAACTACCCTCCCCTGCTGGCCTGGCTTCCCCTAACTGCCATGCCCTACAGACCTGGTCGCCCCAACTGCCCTCCTCTGCAGGCCCAGTCACCCCTAACTGCCCTCCCCTGCAGGCCTGGTCACCCCAACTGCCCTCCCCTGCCAGCCTGGTCGCCCCTAACTGCCCTTCCCTGCCAACCATCTTGTGGTGGCCATCTTGTGCGAGGGCATGACAGTCAATTTGCATATCACTTCTTTATTATATAGGATTAGGTAAGATAATCACACTCACCTTACAACATCTGCAAAGTATGGTACATCTAAATCCAGATTCTTATGATCAAGGGGTTTCATGATTGCCTCCTACAGACAAAAGAGAGGAAAAATATCAATTCCATTTATGACTCAGATTCCAAAGTGTTCCACCTTTTCCTCTAAAACTTATCATTCAGCCACTAACTTGATACTTTTATTGTATACTTTATCTGTCTTACAAAGCCATTTCAGAAAGTTTAAAATTATGAAATAACATAAGCTCTCCATAATGACTGTTTATCCTCCTTACTGAGTGCAAAGAGGTTAAGAAACCAATAAGTAGAGGATTCACTGGAGTTTTCTCATAACAGCCACTGTGATCCAGAATTTGGTTTAACATTCTTGCATTCTGTCCAAAAAGTTACCAAAAATACTACTCCATAGAGTCTCACCCACAGTGTCACTAGGAGAAAGATTCAGAGAGTACTACATTTTACAAGGCAGACTAAAACTCATATTACATTAAGAGTCCTAAATTTCTGCTATAAGGAGTAATTTAAAAATGATCTTGAGCCATTAGAAGAAAAAATATAAAACATAAATGCATTTCTTCCTAATGCTTATATATTAACATGGTTTCCCTTATCAATGTCAAGAATTATAATTGTTAAAATATATGATCAAAGGCATAAGGAAAATTCAGAGGAAAAAAAGAAAACTTCAAAAAGAAATCTGTATCTTGAAAGAACAGTAGAAATTGTTAAATGTAGGAAATCAGGAATGGCAGCAAGGAACACAAGATGAGCACGCTACATTTATCTCCATCACTGTAATACAATGGTGACTAATATCCATTAAGTCACCTGAACACCATTAGAAGAACATGAAAGCAGTTCTTCCAACTACTCCCCTACTCCCACACCCAATTCCACTCACCCCATCATGGAACTCTGGAGTTACTTGGTTGGGAAAGTGAAACGCAAGTAACTGATGGGAGTTACTTAGGGGACAGCACATAATAAGCACCAAACATGCCATTACCTCCATATACCCTTTGAGGTCAGTCAAATTCATAACCATGCCTGTAACAGGATCGATCTAGAGAATAAATAGAGAAGAATATTACTATAACATGCTCTTCAGATTTAAACCTCTGGTAAATTATTAAAGGCTGTACAACGTGCAGAAATTGTGCCCACATATGCCTTCAACCCCAGCACAATCATCAGTCTTGGCATGGGAACACCAAGTGCTCCCGGCATCCTTTCATTGTATTGCTCTTCTACCTGCCCACATACAGCACATTAAAGGTGACACTTAGGGAGAGGAAAGGCCTGGAATGGCAGCAGCTCACCAGACACAAAGAACAACAGTGAAGCAATAATGATTTGAACAGAATTTTTCACACTGAATCTGTCACATTGGCAGAAAGAGGATCCACACAGATATATTCAGCACATACCTCTCCATGTACTGTCACCACAACTACGGGAAAGAAAAAAAAATACCAAAAGACCAACATGACTTTCAACAGATTAACATCCAAGCACAAGTTAGCAACATAAATTATTAGATCTCTGCCCCCACAAAGCTATATTTCTATTTCCCCCAAAAATATCTGTCCTCTTAGTTAAGGTTGTTTATCAACCAAAGCAAGAGTCAACCAAGACAGAAGAGCTTAGTAGGAGCTTTAGCTAAGCAGAAGAGCTCAGCCAAAGCCAAGAAGGTGTAAATTCTGCTGATGATGCTGATGGCACTAGTTAGAAATCTCCACGAGAAAGGATCAAGGTGCTGCCCAATCGCTACCTGTAAAAGTAGGAAATGCACAGGAAGAAGTCCGGCTGCACACCTGCCAGTACCTTTTGGGCAGTACCTTTCTAAGCAAGCAAAACTACTAACTAAAACTCTTATCCCTTTACTTAGATGAATGTATACAGTTTGCAGTAATGCTTTATAAATTAACAAGTGCTTGTATGAAGCACTTGAAAAATCATGATAATAGAATACTTTACAAATTAAGAACTTTTATATTTTTTTCAGCTCCATACAAACACCATGTGATATTATATGATAAATGAACAAACTAAGAATGAGAGGTATAGCATACTCCCAACCAACATCCCCCTTTTGTCAGTCATTACTTATTCAAATGTACAATCTAATTTTAACATTAGCCTCAGCAACACCTAATTAGAATGAAACGTGCCCAAAAAATCTCAATATGTGCACTAAAGCCAAAAAAAATGTATTTAAACCATTCATTGGACTATCTATCATAGCAGACGATTAACTGCAAGGTAAAAGCTAAATACATCCCACCAAGGCAACAGCTCTTTTCATTCTGAACTTCCACTTAACTTCTCATTCACGTCTCAAAGCACTACTGCTCTTCCTGTAAGTTTTTTTTACTCGTTAAGATTGTATCTGCTAAAGATTTTTCCACTCTTATTGAAAGGGCTAAAATTTCATCAGTTTTCCTCTCACCTTTGTAATTGTGCCCATGACCATTTGGATTGTTGCATTTTCCAAACAGTTTCAAGTTTTCTTCATTACTCAGAGATTTGCTGACCAGGAAAAACAAAAGTCAATATAAGCTTCACAATTTATTAATACTTTAGCTCATCAAATGGAGAATCATAAATCAACTGGGTTTCATTATTCAGCTTTATGTCAGGAACCACTGTATGCCCCCCAATTAGACTATCACACCATACAAATTAGCATAAGCAAATTCAACCCCCTTGTTCCACAGCAAGACTCCAAAACCTGATCTGCTCAAGGCCCTTCCATTTCTCAACATTTACTGAGTACCTACTACGTATTAGACACAGCTGAATGATAAAAGATGCCTGTCGTCAAGTGGTTTAAATTCTCATTGCTTGCCCTGACCGGTTTGGCTCAGTGGATAGAGTGTCAGCCTGCGGACTGAAGGGTCCCAGGTTCGATTCTGGTCAAGGGCATGTACCTTGGTTGAGGACACATTCCCAGTAGGGGGTGTGCAGGAGGCAACTGATGAATGTTTCTCTTTCATTGATGTTTCTAACTCTCTATCCCTCTCCCTTCCTCTCTGTAAAGAAAAATAAATAAAATATATTTTAAATTCTCATTGCTGCCCTAGGTGGTTTGGCTCAGTGGATAGAGCGTCGGCCTGCAGACTGAAGGGTCCCGGGTTCGATTCCCGTCAAGGCATATGTCCAGGTTGGGGGTTCGATCCCCAGTGGGGGCATTCAGGAGGCAGCCAATCAATGATTCTCTCTCATAATTGATGTTTCTATCTCTCTCTCCCGCTCCCTTCCTCTCTCTGAAATCAATAAAAATTTTTAAAAAATAAATTCTCATTAATCCTGAAAAATAATTACATGACCTATTAGTCTCTTCTATAACAATCATGCTTTATCATGCCTCCTCTGATAACTTCACCAGTCCATTGAGGGGCATTCAAATCAGGGGACACTTTACAATACTCAACTGTTGCTCCAGGCAGAGAGCACCTTGCTTAATGGAGTTGTATGCCTATACCTGTCCAGTCATTGCATCTTTAATGAGTCCTTACTACCCTCATATGTTCAAGCTTTCCATTATACATCCCTTTCTGGTTGAGACCCTCTTTATTAGTTCCCCCACCTTCTCCTGCTCCTGCACTTCTTACGCTTAAAATGCTACAGTTCACAAAGCTTTTGCACAATTATCTCACTGTACCTTCCACAGTAGTGACCAGATGGCACACTCCACCCAGAAGGCAGGGACGGGTGCGCACTGCTCAGGGCTGCACCGTTACCTGGCACAAGGCCTGACAAGCACGCAAGATACCTCTCCAGTAAACGACGTTTGGACCTTGCTAGGTAGAAATTAGCCTCATTTCACAGATGGGGGAGTGGGTGCTCAGAGTGGGGCTTGCTCATGAGGGACAAAACTCTTAAAATCAACTTTAGCCCCGCAGGCCTGGCTCAGTCTTAGGCGCCAACCTGTGGGCCCGATCCTGGTTCCACGCCTGGTGGGGGCACGTGCCCGGGTTGTGGGCTGGATCCCCAGTAGGAGGCCTGCAGGAGGCAGCCGATGGATGATTCTCTCTCATCACTGATGTTTCTCTCTCTCTCTCACCCTCTCCCTTCCTCTCTGAAATCAATTAAAAAAACCAACTCTAGTGCCATCAAACTGTGGGATCGAATTGCAACTGTGCTGCTTGCTCTCAGAGCTGCCTTAGGAAAGTGAACATCCTGGTTCATTTTCTCTTAGGTGCCGAGAGGATAACACGCGCTGTATTTAGATGAGTTACGGTAGCTGACACCTATAGAGCGTATACTACGCGCGGGGCACGGTGTGATCCGGGCGAGGTGAGCCCCTCTGGCCGTTACCGCCCCGCTCGAGATCACGAGGTCAGGAGCCAGCGCCTTCTCCCTCGCAGTCGGCTCCACTGCCCACCACGTGCACCGCCTCCTCCGGAGCCCGGTCTCTGGACTAGGCTCCTAACGGTGTCGCCGAAAGGGCCTGACTCCCAAGGGAGGAGCGGGCGCGCCGCCCCCACCTCCGAGCGCACACCCGCGCCCCGCGCCCCGCGCCCCGCGCCGGGCCCGCCCCACCACCCGCGCTGGGGGCACAACCCACCAGTGGAGCCGGTGGGTGGCGCTGAAGGAGACGAGACGGGATACTCGCGCCCAGCGGCGCTGACGGGGAGCCGCCTCGCTCATCGCCTGGCAGTTCCGCGCCGGGCACCTCCCTTGGTGACGGTGGCTGGGGTGGGCGGAGCCTCCCGCCAGGGCTGCGCATGCGCGCTGCGCCCGGAAGTTTCTGCGCTGCACCCTGGGGCTGGGCTCCCTCTGCCGGCCTGGAGGCTGCAGCACTGTCCCTTGCTGATTGGATCTCGGGATAGCCGGAATTCAGGTAGCTGGGCATGCCTAGCACTGGTCAAATGAATGGGTTCAATGCCGATTTTTATGTCTGCTCAGCCTGAGGCCATGCCACGCAGTCAGGGTCAGTCTGGGCACACTTCGGGCCCCGAAGGGACTTCTTTGAGCCGCCCCTCCCAGTCGCTTCTACATGCCCTGGATTACAATAGAAACTTCCAGTGTCTGGTTTACCGCAGGGCCCGTCTCCTATGGTAAAGGAGGCAGGAATTCGAGGGCACGTGCAAGACCACGCGGCTTTCGGAGAGTAGACTACCTTTGGACTGTGAAACCGTGTGTCACCCTGGGCTGGCACCGTGCGAGTACACGCACCCATGAGCACCCACACCAGCGATTCTATGTCGAAGGCATCACCTCTCGTTTCCTCATGCAAACAACTTACATGCCCAGTACCGTACCAGGTCTTGCTTGCATTCATGCTTTCCTCAAATAGTTATTGAATATCTACTAGGAGGCATTCCCCCCTCCCCCCCCGCCCCCCCCCCCCCCCTCCGCCCTGGGAAAGACAGATAAAATCATGGGTGTGGCTGCTATATAAGCCCCAATGGTGACTTCTCTCAAGTGCCTCAGGTCTCCAGCTATATATTGTTGGTTCTGCATTAAATTATTAACATGCTATGTACCAAACATTCTTCACACATTTTTCCAAAAATGTTTCTCATCTCCCCCTTGTGCTGCAAAGAAAAAAAACTTCAAAGAATTATAAGCTTCAGAGATTTTTTTTTTTTTATAGATTATCTAGTTCAGTCCTCCCACTTGACAGGTAAGAAAACACAGGCCCAGAATAGTTAAGTACTTAACCAAGATCACATATAATACAAACAATATTTCCCAGACACTGACTATGTATCAGTGATACTCAAACAGACAGTGTTTAACACAGACACTTATTCCAAAAATAGTTTGAAGAATCTAATAAAAGGTAAGACATTTCTGGGAAATCATTTTATCTATTTGCTTTAGTAAAGTATGTCATTGAATTTGAATTCTTGCTCTAAAATTTTTTTATTAAAGCTAATCCTATATAATAAAGAGCTAATATGCTAATTAAACTGAACAGCAGAACAACTGTCCGGATGACCTTCCAGACAAGCCAGGGCCAGCCAGGGCTGCAAGGGCTGAGCCCCTTGCATGAATTTCATGCATCGGGCCTCTAGTTCAATATAAGGGTACTCACAAAATTCACCCTCAGTGATCCAGTTATTGTATCCCCCAAATTAATGGGTTGAAGTCCTAATCCCCAGTACCTCACAATATAACTTTATTTGGAAATAGGTCTTTACAGATATGATTAGTTGAGAGAAGGTCACGAGGGTGGACACTACTTCCTTTTCCCCTCACTTGTGGATCACACAGCCCTTTCCTTGAGTCTCTGGACACTGGCCAGTGATGAGTTGGGCTTAGGGAGAGGAAGAGGCCCTGCCTAGGCTTTCAACATTAGTCAGATGCTCACTCGGTCTTACCGAAACTTTCTGCACTGGATTACCAGACATGTGTACGTAGATTACAAAACATCACTGACCCCTTTCTGTCCTCTTCTTCAAGAACCTCATAGATGGCAGGGCCAAGCCAGAATCCAGGCGTCCATGCGTCAAAATCTTATGATTACGCTACTAACATTTATATGTTTAAACTTCCCTCCCTGTGTAGTAGGACGGAGTAAAGGTTTATAAACAGAGGAAAGATATGATCACACCTGTATATTTCCTGGATGTCAACTAGTGGCTCCTTCAGCCTTCAGATCCAGAGAAGATCAAACCTCCATGTCCTGTCTGGAGAAGTATCAGGAGATTTATGTTCTTACAGTTACCTCAGCCTCTAAGCTCCCACATCTGATATATCTGTTCTGCTTAGGTTTCTTCTTGCCATTGTGCGCCTGCTACTGTTGTTCTGTATCTCACTAATACAAACACAAAACTTAGAACTTTTACTTTGTAAACTCTCACATGTGGCATCTGTATGTATGGAACTAAAGAGGTAGGGTTTGTGGTGTTTACAATAACTCTTAAAGAAAACTCAGCCCTGCCATGTGGCTCAGTTGGTTGGAGCATTATCCATATACTGAAAGGTTGTGGGTTCGATCCCTGGTCAGGGCACATTCGGAAGGCGACCAATCAATGTTCTCTCACACATCGATTGTTCTCTCTCTCTCTCTCTCTCTCTCTCTCTCTCTCTCTCTCTATCTATCTATCTATCTATCTATCTATCATCTCTTCCCTCCCTCTCCCCCCACCCCCTCCCTCTAAAATCAATAACAATATCCTTGGGTGAGGATTTATAAAAAAGAAAGAAAATTAAGAAGAAACTGACTATGTTGGTCCAGGACTGTGCAGTGAGCCTAATCATGAATTCACAATTGCTCCCAAAAGACATGTTTGGGGGTCTAGTCCAGTGATGCTCAACAGGCAGAGGGAGCATGGAAGGTTGAGCTGGCCCAGGACTGGAATTCAGCAGAGAGAAGAAGTATAACTGAAGGGAAAGGGATTTTGAGGGTGTTGGCAAGAGTGTGGCTTAAGTGCCAAACCTAGGCCAATTTGGGCTATTAGTGAAAACTGGTGGGGTTTAGAAATGTGGAAATTACATGGTCTCTAGTACAACCTGTTGCCCAAATAAATGAAGAACTAATGGTTTTTCATTAATCTCTGAAGAACTAGACACCTGGAGGTTAGAATAAATGCCTGATTTTAGTAATGTCCTGTTATAGGCACCTCTCACTGACACCAGAAAGGTGTTATCAGACAGGACAGCCCCCTGAGCTAGTGGGAGAGGGCTGTCCCTAACCTCGATCCTTGTCTTCTCATGTAAATGAGTTTATAGGAGAGATCTTGACTGCATTGTGAAAAGCCAGTTTATTAAAGTGATTAAAGCATGCACCTTTATTGAAAAAGCAAAGCAAAGCAAGCAACTCTATCTCATCCGGCTTGGAGCACAGATGGGCTTTCCCAGCTAATCGGGAAAAGCGAGTGTCTGGAGCAAGTTCAAGGAGTAATATACCCTCCTCCCGTCTGTAGGTTTCAGAAGATTCTTTTGCTGAGTATCTTGGTATAGGTTAAGTCTCAAGGTTTTCCTGTTGTGGTCTTCCCAGGATCCTGGCAAGTCTCTCTTGCTGAGCCCTGAGACTGCTGGCTTTGCTTCGGGAGTAAAAGTGCCATTTTTTCCTTTCCCTTTCCCTCTCCCTTTCTGCATTCTCTCAGCAGGGAGGTCTTTAACTGTTTGCTCCCAGAGTGTCCTGGGGAAAATACCGGTTTGTTATTTGCAGGCCAGTTGCAAATTACTCACAATGTTTGGCCTTGTCCTAATTTTCCTCTCTCAGCTTCCCCCATTCCTCCTGCCGTGGAATCCTGTAACACTTCAAAACAACACCCTGGCAAGGCCAAACTAGGAGCAGGGTGGGAGGTGGTCACGGGTGGTCCAACTGCAGTGGCATCTGCTGTGGACTGCAGAGAAGCAGCCAGTCTAAAGGAAGCCATCAGGGTGACACCGCTGGCTTCCTGTCTGCTTGAGCACCTGGGGCCAGTGGTAACAGGCAGGCCGTGATAGAAAAACCCGGTGCTTTTCAGATTTATATTCATATTCCACTACCTATGAGTATTCAGATTTCTTCTGCCAAGTGTGAGGGTCTCTGTCACCTACCTATCTGGTGGTGGTAATGACCCACTTCTAGTTTTCCTTTCATGCATTTTCGTTGCCGAGAGGAAGATATATCAAGTAAATACAAATGTAAAACTCTTCAAAAAGTGTTATCAACACTTGCTCAGTGTTTTCAAGGAAGAGTCCTAAGAAAATATAAAACCATAATTATTTCTTAAATGCTTTTTTTAAATAGAAATTTAGAAACCAGATGTCTATGGTTTGGAAAGTAAGGTGCCCTTTTCGGTCTCTCTTTTGTACAGAGCACATTCATTTTAAACCTGGTCCCCAGACCTCGTGGTTCTTCCATCAGGTGGCTATAAAGGTGCCATGAAACCCATAAGGCATTTGCACAGGCACCTCTGCTCGGCCCAGTTCTTCAAAGTTCTTGGCATCCAAGACTAGGAGAAAGTTGCTTTTATTCTAGAAAAGAAACAATATTAAAAATTCCTTTTTTTCTATTAAAAATATATCTCTCTCCTCCACTAGGCTATAAAATTCCTAAGAGGGAGATCATGTATTATTCATCTCATAGCCACCCTCAGTACCTAGAAGAGCACCTTGCCTGCCCAGTCACTAAATGTTTGCTGAATTGCTGAACTGGAGTGAATGGGAAGCTCATACCTAGAGTGGAAAAATTACATTGTTTATATCAATCACCTTCATAGGTGATTGTTTAAGGATCATTTTACCTGTTTCACAGAACTTCTTTCTTCCAAATTAGAATTGCCTCCCTCCATCTTGTGTTACTTGGGAGCTGACCAAACATATCACTGCAAGGCAGACTGAGACTTGCCTGGTATGAATACTGGAGTGGCAAGTACATGGTATTAGGACTAACCCCTCCTAAACCACAGCAGGCCTGACTCACTGATCAGAGAACATTCCTCACCAAGACCTTTGAAAGGGTTAGAGTTCTACCTCCCAGGAAGCCTCTATGGATTCATCAGAACTGGTATTCAAGGGGAGCCTGCTTGCCACAAGATTGCCCCAGAGGAGAGGTTAGACATGATTGAGACACCAGATCCGGGCTTCACCACACTAGACTTTAGGGTCACTCAATTGAAACTGGCAGCACAGATGGTATGAATATTAGACTGGAAGTCAGAAGACTGGGGTTACATACTGGCTTTACTACGATGAGATCTGATACAAATCTCTCTCAGCTTTCTTAAGTTACAAATGCCACATGTGTAAATGGTATCCCACAAAGTTGTTTTAATGGGTAA